ACTCTTTCAACTAATGAAAAAAAATTATTAGTAGCAGCTGCTGCAGGAGATTTAGGAACATTAATTAGTATGATTTATGAAGTTGATATGAGTCCAGATACTCCACTGGTAGCTGGTATAACTCCATTAATGATAGCAGCTTCATGTGGACACATTGAACTAGTTGAGGCATTAATACAAGCTGGAGCTGATGTTAACAAGAGAAATGATCAAGGAGTGAATGCACTGGATATAGTGAGTAATAATTATTATTATGATCGATCTGATATTGAAGAGTTACTAATTACCATTACTCCAGCTGGTGAACCAGATTCAGCATTAAACAATGATGAGATAACTAATAGAAAACACAGCACTGTTGCTGCAATCAAGTCAATATTTGGCATGTTTAGTTCATTTATGAAGAAAGCTTATGATCCATACTATAGCAAGCAAAAAGAAATACAGATGCCTCATAGAGTAACTGATACACTTTATTCAGCAATGACAAGTGATGATTTGTCACAGCTTGTGTCTTAATCAATAATCGATTGCTTAACTTCAAGAGTATATATAGTTAACTTTTATTATGTTGTGGTACTACGTACATAAATGTTCAATGTATATATACATGTAGTTTTTACACTTTTAATTCTAAATAATAATGTATGTAGATGTGTGTCTAATCAACTATTGTCAAATGCACATGTTATGAATAACATTGTAATTGATTTTTCATTTTCATTATTAGCTGATTGATAGTCTAATGCACTAGTATTTTTTGTGTGACAATAATAGTTACTTTTGATTGCTATTAATAAAATTTTTAAAATTGAACTTATAATCTATCAATGCACATATACTATTATTATGAATACATCTACACATTATTAATGTTATGATTCTGTTCCTCCACTTCTTGTTATTCTTTGAATACTTTCAAGTGCATCAATAGCCTCCAGTGAACTCTCACATACACTATCAAACTTATCCTGCAACTAATAACAATAATAATACAATAATTAGTAAAAGTATGACAGATAGCTAATGTGATTTATTATCCAAACTTCCAAAGTAAAGGTTTTTATGGAATTAGAAGTCTGCTATTACATGTACAGTATATGTACTGTAAAAGTTTATATTTGGTAGCTGCTGCACTTTCCAGTTTTACATGCATACCTGGAAATTTAGAATAATATGCTACTCATTTTAGTAAATTCCATAGAAGAAACCTCTACCTTGTATACATGTGCATGTAAGTGCATAATTTATATAATTACTTGTTTCAACAGTTTCCCTCCTTCTCTTGTAATTCTCTTAGTTTCTTTATTATTATTTGCTGACTCATCAGTTTTTATCACGTATCTTAACTCTAGCATGTCTGCTAGGTTTGTTTCTATGGTAACCTCATGAGTCTTCACATCAGTCAGTACAGTTTGTATTAGTTCTTGTTTTCTACTCACAGCTGCTCTGTCATCATAAACCTCTTGAACTGGCTGCATTGTAGAAAAGAAACACCATATTAAATGGAATGATCAATGAGACACTGTTAATTGGTGGATCAATGATCATTGCATTTAATGGTGTTTCTTTTCTCAATGTGAGCATACAGTGTACTATACATATACATGTACATTATGGTACAGTATTAATGTATGCATTTAAAATCTCATTGTGTGGTAATGATGAATTCTGATGCTACACAATATGCAATGTGTTCTATGCATTATGATTTAATGTACTGTACATTTATACAGTGTACATTAATCTATTATTAGAAACTATATTTAGTAACAATACAATGGTGTATATTAGCAACAGTGTATAAATAAATTCATTTAATATTTGTTTTTAAATTTATTATATTACTATTACTGCTATTAGATGTAAACCAATAAGATCAGAAAAGAAAATACAATATTAGTCACAACTGTACAATGCTACATGCTAAACATATCTTTAAAGCATTCATGCCTTCATTTTGACCAAAAATGGTATCAACAGTGGAGTATAGTTTATCTGTCTAATTCAAGATCTAATTATCTGTTCACTATAGTCAAGACCACACACAACATGCCCTTCCCATCTTTTAGCAGTAGCTACACCCATCATCTTTCTAGACTTGCAATCAAGTCCTTCAGCATCAGAATAAAACTTTTTTTGATTTTTGTTGATCTCTTTCTAATTATTGAAATCAGAAAAACACAAAAATGCAAAGCATCTACTGTGACCAAAAATAGCATGTAGATCTAATTCATTGTACTGCACCAGTGGAGCATATCTAAAAGCTACTCATATTGGTTACTCCTACACAATCCACACTTGTTCCTCTATCTACTTGTATTGCTTTGTGAAGTTTGACTTCTTTTACTGTTCTTCAGCCATGATTGATTTGTGTCAGTGGAGAGCTAGAATAGGATCCTGGAACTGTTCCCGCCATTGGAGACAACCCAGTGGTTGTACTAGTACTGATAGCAGTTACTGTGGAACTGGTAATGCAGCTGCACCAGTGAAGTCCCAGCCTGGACTCATTTTGTCTATTTTTTGTCTTCTTATTCTCCTCTTCATATCAGGAGATGTGGAACTTAATCCTGGACCCACTCTTACAGGTAAGGTTGAATGGCTGATGTATATCTCACCTTCTAACACATCACAGATAAGCCAACAAAAGATGAATTGGTTGAGTTATTGAGTAGCTCAAAGTTTACTGCTGGTACTTGGGAACAGTTTGTCTGTTATCTTCCTAACATGACACAAGATATCATTACTGGAATCAAAGAGAGAGGATCAATAGAAGAGGATGTCATGAGTGCTGTAGCTCAACATTGTCTTAATAATAATCCTGATATAACATGGAGAAAGGTCATTGATGCTTTGCTGGATGCTAATGAAGTTACTGTAGCTCGTAATGTTTTAGACAAGCATTCAGGTAGATCTTTAGGTAGTACAAAGAACTTTATATTAAAATTATTTATTAGGTACAAGTTCCAGTAAAAATGTTTCCCGAACAGTAAAGCAAGTCCTAAGAAGTCATTACTCCAAATTAATGGAATGTACTGAAACTTGCCTTTCAAAAGTAGCCAGTGAGTTGTACAGCAAAAAATTAATCAATAATGAAGTTCGACGTTCACCATCTTTTGAAAAAATTGAAATAGATTTCTCAGCAACAGTTTCTTTGTACAAAGAGGATGCAAAAAAGATGATGGAGGTGTGTTCCCTTTTTATAGAATGTCTATCAACTGCAGGAGGACCAGTTGAAGAGGAAGCCATTGCACTAGCTAGAGACTGGGAGAATGAAGTATTTAAGGACCATCAAGTATTGTTCTCTTTTGCTAAGGCAGTCACTGAACTTATTCCTAAAGAAGTACAACTTAGCTTTAACGATAGGCTAGCAATTGAACTTAGAAACCTACACAAGAAGTATGCAAAGCTGATAACTGATATTACTACGTATTATGCCTCCAGTGGGAAACATGATCCAATTGTTATTGCTCGATGGGTTCAAAACACTTTTGATGAAACTGGTTTAGCACAGGATGATGTGAGTGTTGATAAAGTATTTGAGCGGATGAAACCTCATCACAGTTTTATTGATATCAATGCAGTAAATGATCTCACAGAAGCTTACCCTATTGAT